CTGTCCGCAAAAATTCAGGTGGAGTATAAGCCAAGTTAGTGCTATAGCTTTTTCCATCTCGGCTATTTTTTATCAGACCAAAGCTAGACAACCGCGGGTCACCATCCTATGATCCAATCAAAAATTAAGTTCAACAATAATTAGGGTAAGTTCAATATTAACACCACAAAATATGCTCTGTCAATGTGAACGAGAGAATCAGCTGCAGGCACTCAACCAGTTCAGAAAAAGGAAGTTTCAGTAAGGCCCTATCTTGATTCCAATCATTAGGTTTTGAAGTCAATGAAGCACTAAAGCATTGTGTTTGAATATTGTGTACCTCATCAAAGAGAACTCTGTATGCATTTAAGTCATGATACAGTTTTCGGTTTTCTGTATTGCAATGATCAAGGGCTTGTGCAATATAGTATGCAGCTCTCACACGCATATCCCATGGCAATGGCTGTTTCTCCCCTACAATAAATAACATGTGAAAGAAATTATTACACAGAAATACCTATAGCACGGACCCTAGCAATAGCACCAAATACTATGGACATCTCATTTAACATATGTAACTTACGTATAGAACACTTAAGATACACAATACTTACACCAGAAAAAGGACTATTGCTAGAGCTAAGTGATTAGTTAGAGTCCTTGGATACAGCTAACCATGTTGATTTATGATTGGTGATCACTTCCAAATAAAGTTGCAACTCGACGATTGACCCAATCAAAACTAAATCATATTATATGTTCCAAAATTATGAGGCTTATAGAAAATTAGCAACACTACTATTGATCTAAATAAATAGTTTATAAGCAGAAATATGCATAAAGAAGATAAAAACATACAGTGAAATAGGTGCTTTGAGAGAGTATCATTAGGCATGTACTCTGCCACCAACAGCCTCTCATCTCCCTCAGCACAACACCCGATTAAATTCACCAATCGTTTGTGCCTAACCTTGCCGACCCCAGCAGCCTCCGCCTACATACAATCCAAAAAAACCTCATCAGTTTACACTCACTTACGCAAAAACACAAGCACATAAAATAGACAACCTCAGTGGCAATGACATACCAAAAATTGATGTGGGTCGGGCCAAGATTGCTTAGAAAAGCGTTTAACGGCCACCAATCGATTATTGCGAAGCTTGCCTCTGTAAACAACATTGGGCGCCTTCTCCCCACTCTCGGAGACTATAAGTTCTGAGTTGAACCCATTGGTGGCTGCTCTTAGCTCTGCTAGACTGAACTCTTTGAAAGCAGGAACTGCTTGTTCATCTTCTAATTCCTCTCCATTAGCTTTCACATAAAAACAGTTATTGTTCAAACGCTAATCAATTGTTTTTCTTGTTTAAATCATTTTATGACAAGAAAATATTGGAACTTTGAAGCCCAGAAAAGGAAATGAAAAGAGTAAGAGAAGCAAAAGATAAAAACCTGGATCTGGGACAGGAGGGTCTTGGTCTGGGGAAGGGAGGTGTGCTGTTTTGGACTGGAAGCAGCCCATTGCTGAGTGCTACATGCCACCACTGCTTGCTTTCTTTTTGTTTCTTTGTCAAAGTCTATGGAACTTGGACCAGCTGCAGTGAAGTGGGTGTTTTTGTGTGTGTGAAAATGGAGGAAAAAGTCAACAAAGAGAAGTGGGGACTGAGAGTGAGAGAGAGAGAGAGAGAGAAAGAGAGAGAGTTATGTTTTGGTGGGGTTGTGGGTTTGAGCCGTTCAAGTTCAAAATGGGAAGCTGACATCAAATCAAACTCAGGATTCAGAGGAAGACGAAGACGCACATGATAAGCTGACAACAGCACGTGTAGCGAGACCGAGGAGGATCCATCCAACGCGCATTTAGAAAGCCAGAATTGTAAAAATTGCTCTTTTAACCTAAAACCCAAAAGCCCAAAACAGAACCCACGTACGTCAAAAGTTTGTCAATGGACCTGCGAGTTATCAAGAGGTGTATTTGGGCGGTCAATAAAATAACTTAGGCCCTGAACCAGGCGAACTTCGGCCTGATTTTTCCAGCAGCAAACCCAACGGGCAGAATTGATCTAACAGTCCAGATTTTTCCAGATTGATTTTAACGGGTCAAAAAAATATCGGACAGTCCAAATTAAAATCCAATCGTTAAAAAATTATCTAAATCATATCCAATCCTAAAACTCATCATAGTCATTCATTGGGATATTTGTAAAAATATCACCTGAACTTATACCTTAGTTTCAATTTATCACCTGAAAAAAAAGAAAAAAAAAGAGAAATGTCACCTGAATTTTTCAAAATCTATAATTTATCATCTAACTTTAACATCATCTAATTTTTCATCCATGATTAAGGGCATTTTAGTCTTTTCATTTTTAAGGGTGGTTTAAAAATGGAAAAATCATTATACAAAACTGTATATTTTTTAAAATAAACCATTAAAAATCAAGATTCTTTCCTACCAAACATTAAAAAATTGAAAATTGCATTTTTTTTCCATCCCCCGGTCGTCTCTCTCTATTCTCCTTTCCTCCCCAACTACACCTCCCCTCTCCTTTGTTTTTTTTCTCCCCCAAGACCTGAGCACCCCATCCCCACCTGCAACCCACCCCCCACCCTCTCCCTCTATTTTACAGGGGCAGGAAAAAAACCGCAATAAAATAACAAAAACACAATAAAAATTAAACTAATGTAACAATGGTAAGATTGGTGAAGGAGTAGTAGAGTACCAGTGGATTCAAATACACTTCTGAATCGTGAAAAATAATTTGAAGGAAGTAAAAAACAGAGACTTGGGTT